TGGAGCATATATTTTACAGAATTATTACAATATTTCGGCTGAATGATGACAAGGGTCCAAACCAAAGTAATTAGAGTGGGAATGGAATGGATTTAGAAAAAAATTTTAAGTAAAATCAGTACTGCTTGCCGGTCTATTGCAATGTTTGAACTGAAAAGGAGAAAAGGTCCAAATATAATCTACAAATTAGCATCTAGGAGCCATGACAATAAAGATGGTAGTTGAAATAGTGAAAAAGAGATGAGGTCATCAACAGAATGTGTGTTTGTAGAGTGAGAAGCAGTAAGGCTCAGGATAAAATCAAAACACGTATAATAGCAGCAAAGACAAAGAGAAAAATAGATGAGAAAAAATAGTCAAGAGAGCAACTGAACAGAAAAACGTTGCAGTGGAAATTGAAAATGGAAAAAGAAATGTTAAGGAAAAAGCATGAAATAATCATCATAGGTAATTATATGCCAATCATAATTCTAAAGATTTTATACATCTTATCTTACTAAATCATCACAACATCAAATAAAATCATGACTGAAAAGTTTCTATTAGCCTCAGAAGCTAAGAGATCATTGATGATCTTATCAAGAGCAGTTTTGATAGAATAATTGGATTAGAATCCAGATTGCAGTAGATTAAGAAAGGAATAAACAGGGAGGAAATAAAGTAAAGATAATACTTCATAGCCTTTGAGAGACAGCATTCACTAGTGATAAAGGAAGAGTGATAATGTGTTTTGTTTAGATATTTTTGTTTTGTTTTGAAAAAAAAAAGGATTCCCCAACTGAGAAAGTAGAGTGTTGATGGAGAAAGGACCCAGATCAAGAGCCAAGGTAGAACAGTCAACCTCTATAAGAAAAAGAGACACCATCTCTGAGACATAATTGATAATAATGATGATATCTCATACCTACATAGCATTTTTCATGTGCCGGGGGCAGATCTAAACATTTCTCATATATTAATTGAATCCTCATAGAAACTCTATGAGGAAAGTCCAATTATTATCCCACAATTCCCTTGTTGTTGTTGTGTTTTCTTCCTTCATCTTGGCATGACACAACCACTCTGCTTGAAACCAGCTCTGCTTACCACATGCATGCTCCCATGCAGTTAAACATGGCTGAAAAAATACCCACTCATGCTGATTTGATCTCATTTTTAAATTCCAACTCAAGTCCTAAGTGGACTTTTAATTTTCTCTTGTAATGATAACATAGTTCCTTTGACCATTTACAGTCCCAACATACCAAGACCATTATTTCATACTCTTTCTACTCTCCTAAAACTTCTAACACAGGTTGATCCTAAAATTCACATGGAAATTCAAGGGACCCAGAACAGCCATAACAATACTGAAAAGGAAAATAACAATTATTAATAATCTGTCTTTTTTATTATAGCCATCCTAGTGGGTATGAAACCGCTTTAAACTGGTTTGTCTTTTTATTGTTGAGTTGTGAGAGTTTTTTGTATATTCTGGACACAAGCCCCTTACCAGATATACGATAAAAGTTGTAGATTTCAAAACTTACTACAGAACTATAGTAATCAAGACAGTGTGATACTGGCATAAGTATAGACATGGAATAGAATTGAAAGTCCAGAAATAAATCCTTACATTTATGGTCAACTGATTTTCAACAAGGCTACTGAGACAATCCAATGGGAAAGAAGAGTCTTTCAAGAAATGTTGTTGGGACAACTGGATATGCACATGTAAAAGAATGAAGTTGGGGCTCTACCTAACACAACATAAAAAAAAATTCAAAATGGATCATAAACTTAAATGTAAGAGCTAAAACTACAAAACTCTTAGAAGAAAACATAGGAGTCAATCTTTGTGATCTTGGGTTAAGCAATATTTCTTAGATATGATATCAAATGTGCAAGCAATAACAACAACAAAAGATAGGTAAACTGGGATTCATCAAAATTGAAAACCTTTGTGCTTCAAAGGATGACATAAAAAAAAAAAGACAACCTCTGGAATGGGAGAAAATATTTTCAAATCATATATCTTATTAGGGACTTTTATCCAGAATATGCAAGGAACTCTTACAAGTAACTCGACAATAAAAAGACAAATAAGCCAATTTAAAACGGTTTTATACCCACTAGGAAGGCTATAATAAAAAAGATAGGTAATAATAAATGTTGTCAAGGATGTGGAGACACTGGAACGCTCATGTAGTGCTGATGGGAATGTAAATGGTGTGACCACTTTGGAAAACAGTCTGGCAGTTCCTCAAAATGTTAAGCATATGAGTTATCATGTGACCTAGCAACTCCATTCCTAGACACAAGCCCAGGAGAATGAAAACATATGTCCACACAAAAATGTGTACACCAATTTCATGGCAGCATTATTCTAACAGCCAAAAGATGAAAACAACCTAAATGTCCATCAACCGATGAACGGATAAACAAAATGTAGTATATTGATATAATGGAATATTATTCAGCAATAAAAAAAGAATGAAGTACTGATACATGCTACAACATGGATGAACCTTGAAAACATTGTGCTGAGTGAAAGAAGCCATTCAAAAATGACCACGTATTGTATGATTCTGTGTATATGAAATGTCTTGATCTAACAAATATACAAAGACAGAAAGTAGATGAGTTGTGGCCAGGGGTCCAGGGTATTGGGAAATGGGAAGTGACAGTTAATGGGTATAGGGTTTCTTTTTAGGGTGATGGAAGTATTCTCAGATTAAATAGTGGTGGTGCTTGCACAGCTCTATGAATATGCTAGAAACTACTGAATTAGACCCTTTAAAATGCTGAGTTGTTTTACCCTATTACCATCATGTAAATGACATCTCAACAAAGCTGTTATAATTAAAAAAAAAAAAAAACTTGTCAGATTATAGTACTTCTCTGCTCAAAACCCTCCAATGGTTTCCCATTTCACCCAGAGTAAAAACTAAAGTCCTTTCTTTGACCTACAAAAAAAAAAACCATTGTCGTGGAGTCGGTTCTGACTCAGCGACCCTATAGGACAGAGTAGAATCGCCCCATAGGGTTTCCAAGGAGTGCCTGGTGGATTCAAACTGCCAACCTTTTGGGTAGCAGCCGGGCTCTTAACCACTGTGCCACTAGCGGTCTTTTGACCTACAAGGCCCTACTAAATCTGGACCCCATTTGCTGTGATTTCATCTCCTAATAATCTCTTCTGGATCACTCCACTCCAGCTATACAGGCATGTTCGCACCCTGAACGTTCTCTCTGTAGATGTACACATGGCGCACTCCTCACTTCCTTCATGTCTTTCCTCAAAAGTCACCTTCCCAGTAAGGCCATCCTAGGCCAAGCACTGTAGGAAGTTTCAATTCCTAACAGTACCTAGTCTCCTTCCCTGCTTTATTTTCTCCTTAACACTTTTCACTATCTAACACTTTATGTGATTTAATCACTTTGCTTGTTTATTGTCTGTCTCTTAGTGAAAGAATGTAAACTCCCTGAGGACAGGGATTTTTGTCTCTTATGATTGGTTCACCTACAACAGAGCCTGGTACATGCAACTCAATAATTAGATGAATAAATCCCCATTTCAAGGGAATTCATGGCACAGAGATTAAGTAACTTGCCCAAGTAAATCGTAGGGCCAGAATTTAAACTCAGGCAGTCTGGCTCCAGGGTCTACGATCCTAACCATCACTCTAACCACTGATAAGAATTATTAAGAAGTCTTAAACAACTAGAGCAGAAATAACAAAAATGTTGACACAATGTGAAGAACATAACCAATGTCACTGAACAATCTGTGTAGAAATTGTTAAATGGGAGCATGTTTTGCATGTTTTGATGCGTATCTTTTCACCAAAAATTAAATTAAATTAAAAAAAAAAGTCTGGTAGGGGTGGGAGATACTCAGGCTCATAGAAGAGGAAGGAGTTGGATAAGAAAGGTCATATTCAATGGTCTGTCAGAATCAGCGACAGAGAGTGATCAAAGTGAAACTGGACATTGCAACTTAGAAAAAAGGTCATTATTATTTTGTGCCTTCCTCCGTCCCCTACAAAAACAAAAACTTCCTTACATTCTTCCCATTTTTTTAAGACCTAAGTGGCTACAATTGATTTGGAGTACATAATTATTATTACCAGAAATTATTCACAAGGAATCCCAGAACAAAAATAACATAAGCCAAATCAAACTTCTGATACTAGGAAAAAATGGAAGGCAACATAATGTCATCCCATCTCCTTGGTGATCAGGAAAGAGGTCAAAAACCAATCTGGGAGTGGCTGGTGTCATGGTTTGAATTATGTCCCCCCAAAAAAGTGTGTATCAGTTTGGCTGGGCCATGATTCCTGGTATTGTGTGGTTTTCCTATATGTTGTAAATCCTGCCTCTATGATGTTAATGAGGGAGGATGGGTGGCAGTTGTGTTAGTAGGGCAGGACTCAGTCTACAAGAGTGGGTTGTATCCTGAGGCAATGTCTTGAGATATAAAAGAGAGAAGTGAGCAGAGAGACAGGGGGACCTCATGCCATCAAGAAAGCAGTGCCGGGAGCAGAACTCGTCCTTTGGACTGGGGTCCCTGCGCTGAGAAGTTCCTAGTCCAGGGGAATATCGATGAGAAGGCCAAGGGAGAGAGAAAGCCTTCCCCCGGAGCTGACACCCTGAATTTGGACTTTGAGCCTACTTTACTGTAAGGGAATAAACTTCTCTTTGTTAAAACCATCCACTTGTGGTATTTCTGTTATAGCAGCACTTGATGACTGAGACAGCTGGCATACCAGCTTTACTGAAACTTGGTAATTGATAAAGTCAACAAAAGAGAGTGGGTTGTGTATAGGGAGAAAAGAGAGGGGCTGAGGTCCTTTAGAGAACCACCATGTATTCCTGAGGAAGAAGACCCAGCAAAATAGACTGTGAAAAATGTGTTTTCTATGAACTCTGTCTTAAATTTATGATTTCACAAAAAAATTTTTAATTTATTATATATTCATACATAATAAAGCAGATTAAGTTCATCATGGAAACAAACTCACCTCATAAACAGTAACAGCTATGCTGGCATATGGTATGATAATCAGAAAATTAGGACTAAAGCATTTGTAAAAGCCTCTAACCCTTTCATTCTTCCAAGTCTTCCTGGCACAATCCAGCATCCCAGAGTACTTGCCAGTTCTACTTATGGCCAACTTGGTTTTTAAAATCTGAATGTGAAAGAAAGGTTATAAGATCATTGATAGGCTATCCAACCCATAGAATCCCCATAAACTGTGAGCTACAGAAACCATCCATTATGATAGAATTAAAAAGAGAAAGCAATCTTGGGTCAAACTGTATTCTCAGCAACAGCACAACTATATATGTTCAACTGTTCCCTGGTATGTTTTAGTTTTCCATAGAAGTATCTTAGAAATACAGTATTTAAATACTTTTGTCAAATTTCTACATTTAACTTTGTGGCAAAATTATGGTTGTTGTATGCCGTGGAGTCGATTTTGACTCATAGAGGCCCTATATTTCAGGGTAGAACTGCCCCATAGGGTTTTTGTGATTAGATAGAGTGTCTGAATTCAGTTTTGTCTTCTTTTTGTCCAAATTACACAGCAGTGTAGCCACAGCTATTATACTGTGACCAAATAAGAAACCCAGAAGTAAAAGAGAAGCTCTTACAACACCTATTTCCAACCTTAATATTCTAATAAACTCATATAAGGATTTCATACACATATATATGCACATCTCTTATGAACAGCTATAGATATACAGGGTTTTTTAAAAAATATTTGCCATATAAGTAAAATAAACATTTGTTTGATTGTACTGGGATAAATAATATCCTCTTAAAATTCATGTCCACCCGGAACTTGTGAATGTGACCTTATTTGGAAATAGAGTCTTTGCAGATGTAATCAAGTCAAGATGAGATCATATTGGATTAGGATAGGCCTCAAATTCAGTGCCTGGTATCCTTACAAGGAGAGAAATTTGCAGACATTTTGACTCTTCTTTTTCTTACATCCTGCATCTAATCCATCTGGAAATTCTATTGGCTCTGCCTTCAAACCAGAATCTCACCAACCTCCCTGTTAACACCATGGTTTCAACCAGAACAATTTTTCTCCTGGATTAGTTCAATCATTTCCTAACTTCTACCCTTGCCATCTATAGTCTATTCTTAATATAGCAGCCAGAATGACCCTTTTATATAATCAGATCATCTACTCCAAACTCTACCATTGCTCCCCATATCACCAGAGTAAGAGTCAAAATTTACTCTGGCCTGCCTCCCCCATTACCCCTCTGACTTCATCTTCAATACCTTCCTGCCCCCCATTCATTTTGCTCCAGTCACACCAGCCTTTATTGTTCCTGAATCAGCCAGACACACTCCCCACCTTAGGCCTCTGTCCTGTTCCCTCTGCTTGGAATGCTCACCCCCTATGGAACTCCTTTGCTCAGAAGTCTCCCTCTCAGTGAACCTACCCACCCTCTTTAAAATTGCTACCTCCACTCCCTGACACTTCTGCTCCCTCTTAAGCTGTTCTAATATTTTCTTTTTCCCATAGCACATATCATCTTAGAAGGTACTTATTACCTTCTAAAATAATATATAATTTACTTATTCCTTATGTTTATTGTTTATTATCTATCTCCGCCTGCAAGAATATAAGTTTCGCAAGTGTTTGCAACAATTCCTGACAAGTAATAGGTGCTCAATAAACATTTCAAAGCATTATACTTTTTTAAGAGGAAAAAAGACTCTTGACTTCAAAAGTTTGAAAACGCCAGTCTTCTGTCCGTATAATTGGAATGACTTTCTTTTTTCAGGACCAAAGTAACAATTCTTTGTTGCTGTTGTTTTAAAATTTAGAGATGTATATAAGAGTGAAAGCCCCCCACTCCAAACACACACACACACAAATATCAAGGTAAAGAAAATCTGGGGAAAAAAAAAGGCTGAAGACTGAGGAGCTGTTTTGATTAAAGGATATTAAAGAGACTTGATGACTAAATACAATATATAATCCTAGATTGGATTCTGGACCAATAATAAATATATATATAAAACACTATTGGGACAGAAACATTACTGTGACAAAAATTAGTGACATTTGAATGAGGACTGTGGATTATATAATAGTATTGTATCATTGTTAAATTTCTATATCTTGATAATATATAAAAGAATGTCCTTGTTCTTAGAAAATTCACACAGAAATATTTAGGAATAAAGGAATACCAACTTCCTGTCCAACTTCCTCTTAAATGTTCATTTAAAAATGTATGTATACACATATATACGGCAAGATTGAAAGAGAGAGCGAGAAAGTAAGCAAAACAGTGAAAAAGAGTCAAAGTATAAATAAGTGGTAAATCTGGGTGAAATATATACAGGATTTCCTTGTACTATGCTGTAAGTTTTAGTTTTAAATTATATTAGAATGAAAATTTATACGCCTCCCCCCCAAAAAAAGGGAAAAGCCTCCACCTCCACCCCACAGCGAAAGGTTCTTACATACTTTTGTTCTTAGACTTGCCTTTGCTAAATCTCATCCTCTCTACTAATCCTGGCAAGTACAGAAGCAGATATAACATTTGTAACATGAGTCTGTAATCCTTGGGGAGATGATAGACGTAAATAGGAAGGATAACAGGAAAAGATAAAAGGCAGAAAGGAAAGCATACAGAAAACCCTGTTGGTGCTGAAGTTCATTATGAGAGAAAAGAACTATAGCTCTTTCCCAAGTAAGTGGTCTTCAATTTTATACTCTTTTCCTTTTTCACTGAGAGATGCTATGATAGAAATATATATACAGAAATCTCCTTACTGAATCAATTGCTTTCTTACTCTACAAATGTGAGGCTACATAATCTGAAGGAAGTACTGCTTACCCTAGGTTATATATAAACACTGTCACACAAATACACAGGCTAGTTTAGACTTTGAAGGGAAGAAAAATCTTAAAATTAAAAAAAATTGCGAAGTCTATATTGTTTTTAAAAATTGGATGATTCATCGTTGTAATTATAAAGTAGCAAAGGATGAATATCACAGAAAAAAGTATCCAAAACATACTTAAATTACATACAGTTGCTCAGACTCATAGCTTTAAAATTAATCACATTGATGTTTAACCCAAGGTCCCTGCCTGTTCCTTCTATCTACTAATTCAGAGTTTAGAAAAAAATACAATTAACAGAACAAACTTAAGGGACTTTAAAAATCAGTGTAATTAAAATCCTCAGAAGAATTCAGGAATATATTGAATCTAAGTTAAAAAAAAAACACTAGAAACATTGGAAATTAAATTAAAATTTTCATCATTAAAAAAATTCAACAGATAGACTAAATAGCAACATAGGAACAGCTAAGGAGTAAATTCATGACTGGCATATCAAGCCAATGACTTCTCCTAGACTATAACTCAGAAAGGTGAAGAAAGGGGAAGTATAAGAGAAAAGACTTGGGCTTTTTGGAATCATCAGGATTCCAACCATCAAATAAGAGTTTCAGAAGAAAAGTTAAGAAAGAGTAAAAAGAAAAATATAATCCAGAATTTAATAGAAGAAAAATTCCCAGAGCTGGAAAAATGCAGGTGTTTTCATTGAAAAGACCCACAATTAACTTAGTAAGATGAATTTTAAAAAGGTCCAAACCTAGACATTTCATGATGAAATTTCAGAACAGCAAGGATGAAGAGAAAATCTTAAAAATTTCCAGATTATTAGAATTAGCAAGAGTAATGTAAAGTCGTTGGATACAAGTTAAACATAAAGAGCCAAGAGTTTTCATATATACTGGCAATAAAAGCTAGAGAAGTATAATGAAACAAATTAATAGCAACAAACATCATAAAGTATCTAGTAATACAAAAGCCTCAAAATGTGTACTATGTAAAGAAAATTATAAAACTTTATCAAGAAATATAAGAGAAAGAGAGAAAAAATAACACACACAGATCTTATTTTCAGGTGAAAAAATTCAAAATTTTAATTGTCACATCTTCCTAAAATTCATTCAATACAATTAGAGAGGAAATCCCAACTAGATTTTTTAAAAGAAATTTGGCAAGCTGATGCTAAAGTTCATATGGAGGAAAAAATGCAAAAGAATAACAGCAACAGAAATGCTAGCTTAGAGATCATGGTTCTGATGATACCGTCCTAGCAATAGATTTTCCCTATTCAGTATAATTCCTGCTAATGACTAGAGGGTTGTGGTTTATCGGGAGAAAAAAAAGAGCCATATTTTTCATTAAAGATAGTAGTTAAGTTATATGTTTTCAACAGTACTTAACCTCCAAGGGATAAATGAAAGACTGTGAAATAGCCTCACCCAAAGTACTAGAAGCAAATTTCTCAATAACATCTGATTTGTCTTCTTCATAAGAACGGAGAAGTTTCTTAAACAGTGTAAACAAGGATTCAAAAGTATGTTACTATTCAGAAGTCCCAGAGAGTATACAACTTATTCATTACTAATGAATACCTGGGCACTTAATTTAGTTAAAAACTATAATGCACATCACAAGGAGCCTAAACACAGTCATGCACATTAGATAACAGGTCCCAACCTTAACAGTGGAGACTTCCTCTTGTACTTCTTTTTGCCTAGAATAAGATCTGGTATACAGCAGACATTCAATAAGTGTTGATTATGATTAGGAATTAATATAATGAGAATGGAAACCACTGAGATGGAAACAACTGAGTATCTTAAGCAGTAAGTTCTGATGGCAACTGTGTAAAGCAACATGACTTGACAAACTCAGGTTCGAATCCTAGCTTAGTCACTTACTGAGTGACTCAGGACAAGTTACTTCTCTATAACTCAGTTTTTTCATAGGGAAAATGAAGGCAAGGGCCTTGCCTGTGCTGGTCACCATTATATCTGAAGCTCCTACTTTGCAGGATTGTTGTAAAGATTAAATGAAATAATGCAGATGTACAAGTGCTTGCCATATAGAAACTGAAGAAATGGCCATTACTATTGTTGCATATATAAATGATAAGTATAAATTTTTCTTTACAAAATGAATTTTTAGTAGAATATTTCCTTGGGCTCTTTGGTCTTTATTTTAGCTTCTTCTTTGTTCCAAGCCAATCAGTACAATCCTGTCACTCTGGCCATAGTGATCGCTTCAAGATATATATATGACACAATCTAGACCAGTGAGACACAAGGCAATGTCTTGGGGAGACT